GTCGCAAAATGCTTGGCAGGAATGGGATGCGGCGCACACCCCGCGCCCGCCCATCCAAACCCCCCCGTTATAACAAAAAAAAAAAAAAAAAAAACATTTCAAGTTGGGGCCTTCTGGACGCCTCCTAATGCAATCCCTTGAATCGTATGGGCGCATGGGGTCCCTTGGGGCCTCCTGGGGCCTTCTCGTGAGGCCTCTCTGTGTTTGCAAGCATTTCGACATAAAAACATCAAAACCATACGCTTTTTGCACAACAATTCTACAAATTTCCTGCCCGGGCTGTCTTGTTGAAATCATAGGAAAACCATAGGAATCTTAAGAATTCTGTCAAATCCAGCGATTTCACGTCACCTCCGGCCACCTCTGGCTTCCTGCGGTGTACCGGGCCATTCTCGACTCGTCTGGCAATGCGTGCGCGGCATTCAACACGCGCTCGCCAGTTCCCGTCGGCAACCGCCATCGCGGCCGCATCAGCTGTACCAAACCGGCTGGCCGGTGTGACTTCGGCCCCCAGTTGTGCCAGCTTTGCTTCTTCTGTTGTGGGAGGGCGGGTGGGACTGGGCATGCCATGCTTGACTCGCTCGAGCTGGCTAGCTTGACTCCTACTCCTACTCCTACTCCTACTACTACGACTACGACTACGACTACGACTACGATACGACTACGACTACGACTACGACTACGACTACGACTACGACTACGACTACTACTACTACTACTACTACTACTACTACTACTACTACTACTACTAGTACTACTACTACTACTACTACTACTACTACTACTACTACTACTACTACTACTACTACTACTACTGCAGTCGCAGAATCCAGCATTGCAAACAATGGCGCTTGAACGCCACTATCCACAGAACACCCGCTCTGCCCGATGTTTCCGTACACCTGCTGGGCGTCTAAATATGACACCGGACTATAGGGCCATTGGGCTATAGGGCTATACGGCTATCGGGCTGTAAGGCTATAGGGCTATCGGACCATAGGGCTATAGGACTGTGACCTATAGGGCCATAGGGCTATAGGGCTATGGGGCTATAGAGTCTATAGAGCTATATGGGCTATGGGGCTATAGGGATATAAGGCTATTAGGGCTGTAGGGATGTAAGGCTATAGGGCTACAGGGCTATAGGGCTATACGGCTATAGGACTATAGGGCTACTGGGCTATTGGGCACCCCCGGGCACGCGGGCACCCCCGGGCCCCCGGGCCCCCGGGCCCCCGGGCCCGGCCACCGAAATCGGCCACCCGGGCACCCCCGTGCACCGGGCCACCGGGCCCCGGCCACCGAAATCGGCCGCCCACCTCACCTCAGCTTTATATCCGCTAGGACACCTACAGAAGCAAGCTCTGATTGGGGAATAAGCTTTGAACTCGTCCGCCTCCGCCGCATCCTGTCATTCCTCGCTCAACGACGGCACTTTCTCTCGCATGTGCTCACCTGGACGTGCTGTGAGCAAGCGGCAACACCTCCACTCGCCACTCTGGCGCGGACATGTCGCAAATCGACTGAAGCATCCCACGCATGCCAGACCGACAAGATGGCCCAAACCGAAAGCCACTCTACTGAAAAATGCTTCGCCACGATCAGGACGGGCTGGTCCGAAGCCGACACTTGTTGACATTCGCTCGGGTGGTGTAACTGGCCGCCCCGTTACATCAATCGTGTGATGGCAGGTCCAGTCCAGCCCGAACGCGCCTGCACAGCTCGTTTGCGCACAAACTTCATTCTGGTCGTTCTGGCCCGCGGGAGGCGCGCTCTAGTCTCGGGAAGTACCTAGAGCAGATGCATCCTGCCAACTATCGACTACTTCGCTAGACGTAGCTGGAAAGAGGCCCACAGACGTCGGCTCCGCAGGCATCGCGTCCCAGATGACATCGAAGCACGCCTCTGCAGAACAAGGCTAGAAATGACGCGCTGGTCCGACGCGACGACCAAGACAGATTCCGAGCACATTGCACTTCCGTCGTGGTCGCCACCTCCTGGAACTCACGGGCTCACGGAGGACACAAGGGACCGACAAAGCGAGAGACGCGGGCGGGCTCTACCCGCTTCTGACTTGAATTGAGGCTGCGGGCGAAACACGGTGAATTTCGACACGAAGACACGGCACTGGCGCCATGGCACTGCCCTCCCCAGTGCCACCCGCCATGCCAATCTGACCCGAGCACGCCGCCACCCACGAAGCTTCCCCCTCGGGAGGCCTGCCTGCGTGGGCGAGCCTCTGGTGGCCTACAGCCGCTGAGTCGTAGCCTCCCACCTCGTGCCCTTTCGGCTCCGGTGGGAGACGAGGCGCCAGACACCTGTCTGCAGCAGAACATATAGACAGCTGGTCCGCGAACATGTTCATACTCTTCCTCCTCCTTCTGCTGATCCTCAGCCCTGCGATGGTCATTCTGCTCATGCTCCAGCTCCTCCCCCCCCCGCGACGGTGGGGTCCGCCGCCAACTGCGACACCGGGGCCTGTCCTTGCGCACAATTGAGCCTGCCCGGTCCCGCAGCCCTTGTCCATTTGCTTGCGGACCTCACAACGTCAGCATCAACATCACCATTTCCATCGCCGCCATCGTCACCAACACCATTATCACGTGATTCAGCTTTTGCTTTGTAACCCGAGTCCAGCTGCGTTCTGACTTCCAGGCCGATGACCAACATCGCCAACGCAATCGATACCATCTTAGCCATCAACTGGTACCGACTTCATCACTAGTTTCGTCGGCAGCCTGCCGCGAGGCGGCCGTGCGAGTCGTAGACCCGAGCCGCACCACACGTAGACGACTAACGCCCCATGCCAACGCTATCACGGCAAGTTGGTACACTAGTGAGGAGGCACATCAACGCCTTGGGGCCGGCGGGGCATCTTGTGAAACAATGGCTTGCTCACTTTACCACGAGAAGCTTCCGTTGCTCGAGGAGTGGGCCGTGCTGGGCGCGAAGGGGCCATCATCGATTAGGCTCCGAATGGCAAGACAAAAACACCAGTAAGGACGTGTTTTAGCGAAGAGGGGATATAGCATAGGTCGTCCGGGAGGCCAGAAGCGCGGTACCTGGAGCGTCACGCAGATGTCGCGGGGAGGTGTGGGACCCCAGGGGGGGCGTAGTAGTTTTTTTTATTCATATATATATATATAAATGTATGTATGTATGTATATATATATATATATATATATATATATATGATATTTTCTTTGTATAGACACGTATGTATTCCGGACGACATCCCGATCTGCATTCCGAAAGACATTCAAATATCGCGTCGCTTTGCCTGTCGATTGCCATTGGACTCTCACTACGATGTGCGTTGTGTTTTGCACCCTGGTGGAGATGCAGGTTTGGATGTCGGCTGAAGATGGGTACTCATATCGATTTGAGTGGCGATGTGCAATTCACCCTGGTGTTTGATCCGTACTTCGATGTGTCTCTCGACTTGCGTTCCGATGTGCGTTACGTATATAGCTTGCAATTGGATGTGGATTTCGATGTCCATGCCCAGTGGGACAAACTCGGGACAAACCACGCGACAAACGCAAAACGACCCACCTGAGAACCCATGGGATAACCACATGACAACCTACCGGACAACCGCGGAATATCCCACGAGACATGACATGCGCGGGCATTGGAACATGCACCCCTGGATAAGGAACCCATGGTCTGGAAGTCGATGTAACTCCAATCGCGGATTGGCCATGGATATCACACCTGCTTTCATTGGACAAGGAACCCCACCAGCCCTTTAGGGCGTGAGCGGCTTAGAGGGTTTCCTCTTCCAGCCCCCGTCTCTCCCGAACTCCCCAAAATATCTCCAAATAGCAAAAAATGCTCAAACAGCATCCCCGGACAATTTTTTAACTATGTTTGAATATTCCTCCTGTCGAAGGACACGCCCGACTTAACGGTGGCTTTCCGAGGCATCAAGATGGCTCCAAGAGAGCCCACGGTGGCCCCAAGATGGCCAGAGGCGACACCTGGGGGCCCCAGAGGGGCGGCACTACGTTTAAGTCGGGCCTGTCCCCCTACAGGGGGATTGTCGGCGAAGAATAAAAATATCTCCAAACATACACCAAACAGTTAAAACAATACTCAAAACATAGCCCCCAGACTATGTTTGGACTATTTGTTTTACAATTTTGGGTATCTTTAAATTTTCGTCGAAAATCACCCTGTAGGGGGACAGGCCCGACTTAACACTACGTAGTTGAGTGCGCCCCCTCTGTGATCAACACAAGCATTGGGACCCACACGCGGGCTTTGAAGGATTCGGGCATTTCGGGGGCATCGTTGGAAGTTCTTTGCCCCGAGAGAGCTCCTAGAGGACCCCGGGTGCTTGAAGATGGCCTCTGTTGGCGCAAGATGGCCCAAGCCGCTTCAAGATGGCTCCCACGATGCCTCCACGAGGCCCCATGGTGGCCCCAAGTTGGCTCCAAGTGGCCGCGGAGACCCCAAAGGAGGCCCCCCCCAAGGGGCCACAGCCAATCCAAAACCTAAAGACAGTCAGTGTGGGTGTGTGTGGTCTTTTCGCCCGTTCGCTTCCGGTGGGCTCCCGAGGTCTCAAGATGGCTCCAAGATGGCCCGAAAAGGCCCCAAGGCAGGCCCAAGATGGCCCCAAGGGCGCCCACGAGCGCCCAAGGAGCGCTCAGGGAGGGCCCCGAGAGGCGACTTTGGAAGCTCCAGCGGCGCGAGGCCAAAGAAGGGCCCCCCCTCTTTGGTCGATCTCCTCCAAGATGTTCCCAGGAAGGTCTCCAGGGCCCCCAAGAAGGCCCCAAGATGGCCCCAACAGGCGCCCTAGCGGCCCCAAGAGGCCCCTAAGACGCCCCCAAGAGGCTCCCAAGCGGACCCCAAGAGGCCCCAAGAGGCCTCCCCGAGCCCCAGAGGCTTTTTTTTTCCCTGGAGAGGCGCGAAAGCGCAGAGGCGGGAGCGACGGTGCGCGGAAAGGAGCCACCCAGTCCATGGGTGGCAGAAAGGGGCCTCTCAAACGGAGAAACCCTCGAGCTCCCACATCCGCCACCCTTGAGGGTTAGAAGGACCTCTTGGTGGCGCAAACGGCACGAGCAGTTTTTGCCCGTTGCCGAGGGAGCATACCGAGGAGGAGAGCCGACAAGTTTTTCCGACCTCTCCTCGAAATGGGCCCGCACGGCTACCCAAGTCCGTCAGAGCGGACCCGAAACCTCCCATAAAGGCCACAAGAAGAACAAATTATCCCGGCAAAGCAACCTAACAGCGATGTGTAGAAGCATATCTGAAAGCATTCCCCTTAAGATTCAGATGAAAATCCAGTTGTCGAATTCTGCTGTTCTCGCAGTCGTAGTCGCATTCGCGATGACAGTCGCAGCGGCAACGGCAGTCGCAGTCACAGCCTCAGCCTCAGCCTGCCTCCTCCTCCTCCTCCTCCTCCTCTTTCTCCTGCTCCTCCTCCTCCTCCTCCTCCTCCTCCTCCTCTTCCTCCTGCTCGTCCTCGTTCTCGTCCTCCTCGTCTTGCTCGTCCTCCTCCTCCTGGTGTCCTCCTCCTCCTCCTCCTCCTCCTCCTCCTCCTCCTCCTCCTGGTGGTCCTCGTTCTCCTCCTCCTGGTGCTCTCCCCCCCCCTCCTCCTCCTCGTCCTCCTCCTCCTCCTCCTCCTCGTCCTCCTCCTCCTCTTCCTCCTCCTCCTTCTCCTCCTCCTCCTGGTAGTCCTCCCCCTCCCCTCCTCCTCCTCCTCCTCCTCTTCCTGGTCGTCCTCGTTCTCGTCCTCCTCGTCTTGCTCGTCCTCCTCCTCCTGGTGTTCTCTCCTCCTCCTCCTCCTCCTCCTCCTCCTCCTCCTCCTCCTCCTCCTGGTGGTCCTCGTTCTCCTCCTCCTGGTACTCTCCCCCCCTCCTCCTCCTCCTCCTCCTCGTCCTCGTCCTCCTCCTCCTCCTCCTCCTCTCCTCCTCCTCCTCCTCCTCCTCCTCCTCCTCCTCCTCCTCCTCCTGGTACTCCTCCCCCTCCCCTCCTCCTCCTCCTCCTCCTCCTCCTCTTCCTGGTCGTCCTCCTCCTCCTGGTCGTCCTCCTCCTCCTGCTCGTCCTCCTCCTCCTCCTGCTCGTCCTTCTTCTCCTGCTCCTCCTGCTCCTCGTCCTGCTCCTGCTCGTCCTCGTCCTCCTGGTCTTGCTCGTCCTCCTCCTCGTCGTGCTCTTGCCCCTGCTGAAAATGTGGCCCAGGAGTGGGAGTTCTGGGAAGTCGAAGAGCACGAAGTTGCCTACAGTTGGCTACGGGCATTCAAAATGTGGCCCGGGAATGGAGTTCTGGGAACTCGAAGAGCACGAAGTGGCCTACAGTTGGCTCCGGGCATTCAAAATGTGGCCCGGGAATGGAGTTCTGGGAACTCGAAGAGCACGAAGTGGCCTACAGTTGGCTCCGGGCATCCAAAATGTGGCCCGGGAATGGCGTTCTGGGAACTCGAAGAGCACGAAGTGTGTGACTGTTGCATCCGGTTATTCTAAATGTGGCCCGGGAATGGCGTTCTGGGATCTCGAAGAGCACGAAGTGTGTGACTGTTGCATCCGGTTATTCAGAATGAGCCTGGGAATGGAGTTCTGGGAACTCGAAGAGCACGAAGTGTGTGACTGTTGGTGAAAAACGAGCTCGGCACAGGCCCGCCCGGCAACTCCCAACACCTGCCCGGACCCCCCTGTGGAGTGATCTGTGACCTCTTTTGACACTACTAGAAACCTATCAGTCTTCGCTGTTAGGTAAAAACAGTCCCTTGAACTCCATTCTGAAGTTTGTGCGACGGGTGAATCTCCCGCCCACAGAACACCGTAGGCTCAAGGACTCTCGACGACCTTCCTTGGCACTGGGTGTTGAGAAACTCTAACGCAAACTTACGTGCAGTACGTCCACCACACACTGAGTATTGCCAAAACGACCTATGAGGATTCGGAATCTGGTGCTCAGTGCGACTGAGGGCTCGACTTAGCTTCAGAGCATCACGCTCGGGCTTGGAGAGCTTTGGACGTTCAACCTTTGGCCGCGGCGGGGGAGGAGAGCGGTGGGAAGCACAATCAAGGAGAACAGTCGCCAAATGTTTCCTGACAACCGCCGCGACCTTATCAACTAACTGGATCCTGGCCACCTGCGCATACGGAAGCTGGGCCTCCTCGGCAAAACTCTCGGCCTTCTCATCCGCGCGCTGGTTGGCAAACAAATGGGCGAGAGGAAAACCTTGCTCCAGGGCTTCAGCCTGCGACAGGTGTGATTCAACCTTGAATAGCCGCACGTCGAGCCCCGAGGAATTTCTGTACACCTCGTGGAAATGCAACCAATCCGAAACGTTGCTCGTGGGAAACTCCCCACGGGCGATGGCGGCAAAACCTCGAATCACGTAGGCACTGTCAGTCACGAAATGCCTCTGTACACGAGCTGAGAGGGACTGGGTAGCTTGTAAGAAGGTGGTGAAAGCCCTGAGCTCTCCCCTATTGATAGACTGTTTGAGCTCCAACGGGCCTCCCCAAGAATGTGATTCAGTGATCGGT